AATGTTATTTTCGGGCTACACTGAAAGGCTCGTGGTAATTTCAGATGACCTGGTGCTACGCATGGATGTATTGGTCAAACTTCGTCGTAAAGGTGTCTACGGATTGGGACGCGACAATATCCGCAGGCACAGCATCCCATGCCTTAGAGTAAAAGAATTTTCCAGTAACACGTAATTTAAGAGGGTGCCCTCGCATGCTAATGGTAGTGCCCAGCTCAAAGGAATCGTTGGATGCGAGGCAACAATCCTGACCCCGCAGTATGCCAAGTTCCCGTATAAGATGACCGCTTAGCTGTCTATAATCCAGGGGAAACAAGTTAAGACTGGACAATCATGTCTTGTAATGCAGGCACCATTGGCCTCGTACGAGCTTGTTTGCCCGTCGTTTAACCCTTTCAATATTGATACGTTTTTTATCGCTCACGGTCCCCAGGCTTAGGTGGTAAATTCCAACTGGGGTCACCACACATCCCAAACACCTTAAAAAAGCACGTTTAATTAAATTTAACAAAGCCGCGCATGATGAGATACAAGCTGAACATTGCGGATTTGGCTACTTTCAAGCAGTGGAATGATGGCTTGAGTAATGGCGTGATCCACACCCCAGATCCTTCTGAGCCTCTACCTCTGGCAACGGCGTGCAATTTTGTAATGAACCCTCCGGTGCACAGTAACGGTTCTGCCAAATTGCATTATAATTTTGCGTTTGGCCACATTGAATGGCAGGAGCCATTGCTCGAATCGATGCAAAGTTGCCTGTAGATTTAATTCATCATCTTCGTTGCGTTTGACCTTCCAAAGTTTTAAGCCGTCAAAAACATTACGAGTTCGCAGTCTAATCCGTTTATGCAGTCATCAATACATAAGGAAGAAGATAGGGCCAAGAACGGAACCCTTGGGAACCCCACTCTCAACGGCCACCTCAGCCGACCGCTGATCACCAAGACATACGTTCTGAGATCGACCGGTCAATAAGTTTTCGATCCATTGCAAAAGGTTGCCCCTTACCCCTATACGGCTGAGCTTGTATAAGAGACGTTAGTAAAGTACAGTGTTGAATACCTTCTTGGAGTCTACTAAGACTGCATGCAGCGTATTTCCTTCATCAAGCGCCCGGGTTCATCATTCTAGGCAATGGAGCCAATTGCTCAGTCAGGACCCTCCTCTACGGAATCCGTGCTGTTTGTCAGAGTGAAGCCAATGGCGCTCCAAAAACTGCATCAGCTCGCATATGACTATTCCCTCTAGTATCTTACAAGCTTACCGGCCTGTAGTTGCTTGCGGACGCCTGACTTCCACTT